GTGAGATAATTATACGATTGGATAAAAATAATGATAATCAGATGATAAATTATAAAAATTAAGAAAAAGGGAATTTCGCATAATCAATAAAAGATTATCAAATTAGAGAAATTTATGTTACTATGGTAACAACACGTGATTTTTCTTTTTTGTGTCCAGCTAATTTTGAATGAGCTAAGGTTCAGGATGGTTCTATTTTCCAAAAAAGTTCAGTTTCATCAGCATTCCAAATGTCTTCAAGTTTATAGAATTGAAGTAATTGTTGTAAAGTAAGCCGATCAGTTTCTATTGATTCCATCGAAGGTGCACTTGCTGATTCACCCTGTTTTGTAAATTGATGAAGTCCATGTCACTTTTTAAAACCAGTAAGCCAACCGTCAGATTCATGAAAATCATCAATATGTAAGTGATTGGTGAAAAATCTTGCTTTTGCTTTGAGAATATGTCCATCAATATCTTGTTGTGATATAAGTGCATTGTCAGCTCAGAGACCAAGAGCAATTTTGAGTTGTGACCACTTAGACCCACGAAGTTTTTTCATTTTTTCTTCTTCTTCATCCAAAATAATAAGCCAACGTTCTTTTTCTTTGAGGATTTCTGATACTGTTGACTTTCCAATACCATACTGACCACCGAGTTCAATGTGACTAAGGTTTGGATTTCTTTCTTTTGTTTCACAAATTTCACGTTTTTGTCCAGTAGTAAGACTAACTCGTTTTTTTTTTGACATAATATCAAGATATTAATGTCAATTAGAATAATGTGAAAAATATAACGAAAGTCAGATTAAGAATAAATAAAAAGTCTACCTTATAAATTTAAAATCTCACACAGTGTCTGATAATATAGTAGGCTAATGAACAGATAACACAGTGTTAAATAATATATAGAATGATAGTGTTAAACAATACAGTGTCAGATAATACAACACAGTGTTAGATAATACAACACCGTGTTAAATATTAATAAAATCTCATATAATTTATTTGACCAATTAAATTGATTCCACGTGATTGTTCGTTATATCAAGATATATACAAATAATAATGGATTAGCCAAATGGGTTCGGATGCGGTATAGAATAATTTACTATATTCATTCAGTATAACCAGCGCTATTATATATAAAAAATTCGGTTCTGAAAATTTCATTCATTATATTCAAATTTCGGTATAAACAGGTTCGTTATAACCAGAGTCAACTGTATTTTATATTAATTTTTTGAAAATATAATCAATTTAAAGTAATATAAAATTTAGAAGTAATTATTATAAAAATTTAAATACTATACAATTTATTTAAGTATATTTTATATAAATATATATATTATATAAATTCTTTTTAAATATATAGTATAGCTTGATTTCAAGTTATAATATATATATATATTTTTTATAAATACATATTGTTGTATAATGAACTTTGATTGAATATTATACTAAATTATTCATACCTAATATTATTGGATTATAAATATTGTATAATCTAATCATGTAGAACAAGCAAATGAACAAGTAAGTAAATAAATAAACAAGTAAATAAACAAGTAAATAAGCAAATAAATAAGTGAATATTGAACTAATAAAATTTAAGTGATATAGTGAACATGAATTCATATACCTAATAAACTATATTTTGAATTTTTATAAAAGTAATATGTATTATAATTATTAGAATTAGATATGAACAAGTCCTTTTAGATAGTAATTCTCAATTATTATATTTAATTAGTTATCACGTAGTTTTAATTATTTAAAAAAGTAAAGTTTGCACTTTATATAGAGTAAATAATCAAGTGCAAACTCCTCTTTATATCTCTTTGACAAAGTATTCTTGTTTTTTGTATAATTACTTTAGTATTATTGTTATAAGTATTATATAGATTTTGAATTAATATTATAATAGCTTAAGCAAGATTACCAGAAATATTATAAAAACTATCATTTTAATATTAGATTATCTGAACATATTTGTAATAAAACCTATTGAATATTATATTAAATAAAAAAATTATTATAATTTATAAATCTATCTTTGAGATTGTATTAATAATAATATATTATTCATAAACTATCTTTGATATTGTATTACTAATAATACATTATTCACCTTCAATTTCATATTGCTAATATTATGAATATTATAATCTCTATAACTTTGACTCTGAGATTTTGAGAACTCTTTTTAGTAGTTCAGATTATTACATTTAAAAAAACACAATTGTTACCAATTTTTAAGTAATTTTGTTATTAGTACTTTTAGTAGTTATTCATATTCAGTCTAATAATTATAAAGTATTATTAATACTTTGAATTGTCATTAAGATATTGAAAGTGTAACAAATTTCACATACCCTTGTAATTTCTTGTATCATATTTATCCTTTTTCGTGTTATATTTATCATTTTCTTGCATAACATGTAGAATTTAACACAGATCTACATTAATACTTC